GCGATGCTGCGCAACGCGACGTGGGTGTGCAACGCGACGAATCCGTCCACCGTCCTGGAGCTGGCTGTGCCCGTGCACCGCGCTTATTTCATTGCTTTCGACGAGACGATAGTCATTCGCTGCGGCGCTGCGGCGGTGTCCGGCGGCTGCAAGGGTGTGCTGCTTGGGTCCTTTACGATCAGGTCCGCCACGCTGCCCGCCGCTGCCAGCGTCCTCTCGGCGATCACCGGCGTTGTTGCGTGTGCGACGACTGTTGCGGTGGTGGTGACCGGCGGGCTGGGCTCCATCCTGGAGATGCAGGCGCTCGGCGTGTTTGCGAGGATGTCATGCGCCTCGGCGCAGGAGCGTGCGAGCACCGTTGCGCTGCCGTACTTCCTGTCGGTGTTCGCTGCCCTTGACCCGCTGTGGATGGTGGTGGGCAACGCGCTGCTTGCCGCTGTGTTCGGGTGCGTGCACTGCGGTGTGACGGTCGCCTTCCAGCGGTGGCGCGGCGTGGACGCGGCGAGTGCGTGGGCGGCGATGCGCTTCCCGAGCCTGACGTACGTTGTGGCGCACGCGATGCACCTCGGCATCTTCTTTGGCTCCGTGCTTGCACTGGCGATGCCCGGCGCCCGCGTGCAGCACCGCGTGATTGGTGTTGTTGGTGTGCTGTACGGTGCGGCGTTCCCTGCTGGCGTGTGCTACTTGATTGCCCGCCACACGGGCGCGAGCTTCGAGAGGTACTGGCAGTTTTCGAGGAAGCCGCAGCACGAGCGCCTGCTGTACCCCGTCGGGTATTGGCACCCCGCAGCGCAGCAGCGGATGTATGGCGGCATGCTGACGAACATGAGGGGCAGCCACGTGTACTGGTGTGTGTTCCAGCTGTCGGTGCTGTGCGTGGTGTGCCTGATTGCGGCTGTGCACCCGCCCGTGGGAGGCTGCCACGTCCAGTACTTCTGCATGGCGGCTGTGCTGCTTGCGGGTGCGGGCGTGGTTGCCTTCACGAACATGATGCGCTCGGCCTTCCTGACGGCGATGCACACTGCGAGCTTTGTGCTTCTTGCGGCGCTGTGCGTGGTCAGCGCGGCCAACCATCTTGCGCCAAGCGACGGCGGTGCGAGGGCGTACGCGGCTATCGTGCTGCTGTTGACCACTGTGCTGCTTGCGGTCACTGTGTACAGTGTCGTTGTGTGGCACGCGGAGGACCGCCACTGGCAGGAGCTGCGCGAGCCGCGGCGTGGTGTGCTGGAGGCGCTGCTGCGCGATGACGAGGAGAGCGACGAGGAGACGCAGAAGCCCCACGAAATGGCGTCATCGTCGTACGCCTCAGGCACCACCGTTGCGTCGTCGTACCAACCACCCGCACCGCCATCGCAGCCTATGGCCGGTGACACCCGCTCAGACGCACTGAGCCTGTTCGACCGTTCATCCAGTGCGAGCCGTATGATCAATTACGCTTCCATTTGACGTACGCCACGTGGAATTAGTAAATATGCGGTGCTTGAGGGGCCACGGCTGTGCTGCGCACCACAGACAGTCGTCGTTAACGGCACCTACAGTGTTGTTGGTCGTTGTTTCTATCAATTTGTTTTCATTTTGATCGGGTGCTTCCAGGAGTTTTTCCCGCTCCACGACGACCGTGTGGAAGGGATTGAGTTGTTGCTCTTGTTACTGCTGATGTTGTGTTGTATCGGACTGTAATTTCATGGAGTTGCGTGCGAGGAACCCAACGTTCGTTTTGTGCAATGGAGGAAGGATCCAGCGAACCGCCTAGTGTAAGTAATGAATTGCAGCACTGCCTTACCGCGGATTTACATGCAGGAAGCATTACAGTCCACAGGAGCAAGGCGGCGACAGACTAGTAGCAGGTCTCCGGGTTTCCAGTAACGTCTTTGAGCGGGATTATTTATTGGGGCGCGACGCATTGTCGTAATTCCGGCTTATTTCGTTGTGGCGAGTGCACGGGGTGATTGATGTCTCTTTAGCGGTGGAAGTGACGGACCAGGCCATCCCAGTCACGTTCCACACTTGTCCTCGAGCGCACCGCCGCCATGGCAGGATCCCTCAGGTGTGCACTTGGAGCGTGGGAGCCTTGATGACGCGGCATTGGGATTCGTTGCCCGTCACGGCCCGCAATTTTGTGTGTGCAGGAGGTGTGACGGCCACTTCCGGCAATTTGCACATCCCTTCACGGCGCTGCCTTTGACTTAGTTGGCGCACCGCCTTCCACAGGCAAGGGATGTTGTTGCGGATTGGCCACGCTGGTACAGGGATGCCTCCACGAGGAATTCCTTCTTTCCCAATTCCCCTATGGCCCTGCGAAATTCATGCACCACAGCAGGCACAGAGCGGTGTGGTGTTAGCACGGAGAGTACGATATTCACCGAGACTGTTTCCACGGCAGCGTGCGTCTATGCGCCTTCTCGTCGAATCGTGGAAGCACGCGAGCACACGTCGACGGTTCTGGATCACCTGGCGACTCACATCGTCGACGTACCCTTTTTTCTCGCCAGCAGTACCGCGTAGCGCACACACGGATGCAGCTTGCCTTTGGCCACTGCGACATACCCAAGAACGAGGCATGTGATGCATAAGCCGAGGAGGCGTCCGACCTCGCACAGCTCAGAGGCACATGGAGCACCGGCATCGTTTTCATTGGCCGAAGGTATTATTTGTGCCCGACAGCTCAAGCCAGAAGCTTGCCGCTCCACTGTATCAGGCGACTGGGAACCGACGCGCACGGACGCCACCCTCACTCGTGGGGAAGAGGCCGCACTGGACCGCCTCCGCACCGGAGTTTCCCACACAATACGGATGGCTGCTACGACCATTGCAACCCGCCATCCCACGCACATGCCGTTGGTGCGGCGCGGATGCCGCACAGCAGGCACGCAAAGAACTTTGCACGGAAACGCCTCCTCCTCCCGCTGGACCTCACCCCGCCACGATCCGATGCCCGGCAGACTGCCCGGTGTGCGGCAAGCACTGCAGTTGCTGCACTGGTGTCGTGACGCACATGGTTAACGCCCATGGTATTACGCGCTCTACCAGGCGCTGTGGAAAGTTAACTTTCCCGGTGAGTCGGAACCGCCAGAAATCCCACCGGAAGCACCGCCCAGCACTTGAGCGAGGACGAGAGCGAGGGACGGCACACCGATCGCACCTCCGTCGCAGACTGCACGGCCCAGGCCGAAGCCACTCCCATGCATTTTCCGCACGGCGTCGTACGAAAGGCAAGCCGGAACCGTACTTTATCTTAGGCACTTCCACAAGCAAGACTTCCCCCGACAACTAGAAGGCGCTGCCGGGAATATGACGGTCTGACGGCATCCACCCCGTTCGAATGCGTGTACTGTGAATTCGGGGCTCAAGCGAAGGCGGGACCACCATCCCGCATACGAGCACACGAACACTCCAGCACAGAGCCACGGTCGGCACCGAAGAAGGAAGCACTTCGTAAATGCCCTTGATGCGACAGGCAGGCGGGCAGTGCTGGGGGATTGACCATCCACACACGGCACAAACACCCAACAGAAAGAAAGTCGTGACACTAAAAATGGAGATTAAATAGTCACGCACTGCAAAGCTCGAACCTCCGCATGAAGAACATCAAACCCACACAGAAACCCCGCCTCTGCACAGGAGGAGAATGCCAGCGAGAAACAGTGCACCGTGAGCCCAAAGTGGCACGCACACACATGCGTTGGTGGACGTCACGCTGTCGCCGATGTCACGGCGGCAGAGGGGTCAGGCCGCCGAGAAGACGCACTTTGCCCGGCGACGAAATCCCGATGGGATCCCCACCAGTTTAGTTTCGCCGTCCAGCATGCGGGTGTCAGTGCCACAGCAATGCCTGGCTGACCCGCTACCGCACGGCACGCCACGGGCATCGACCGGGCATTGTGAAAACCGGCCGACTGGAGCTGTGCGGAGGGGCATGTCGGCATTTACTCCGCTGCCCGGCTCTGCAGGCGCCCAGAAAAAAGCATGGAGCGGACATTGGAGAAGTGGGGAAGCCGTGCCTCACGGAAATATTGGTGTGTCTCCACTTTGAAGTGGAAGGTCTCTGCCCCAGCGGTATCTCCGCGCGGCGAGAAGGCACGAGGCCCCTCGCAGATGCGGCAGGCCGTATTTTCTCCTGGCAGGCTGCCCTCCTCTCCTTTTCTCATTTATGGCGTCCATGTTTGGTTGGTTCTGTGATTTGTTGTTTTATTGATTCTTGGCGGCAACGGATCATCGAGCCACCGCACTGTCCCCGGGGCGGGTGCGTAGCGGTGGTGTGTGCTTCACGGCCTCCGCTGCGGCTCCCACTTCGGGTGCCGGGCTCTCTTTCACATCTTCGATCGTTGGGCGGACGTGCTCTGCGATGGTGGCTGGCGTGTGGACCTTCGTATTTATTTGAGAAGACACGAGGAATAGTAGCAATATATATATATATCAACAGCGCTGAATAGATATTAGTACTGACATCTAAATGCCTATCTACATACATGTGCAGCCAATAAAATGGCAATTCAATAAATCAGGAAACCAAGCAATCTGTCAAATTTTAGGGGAACGAAGGGATACATCCATATCTATACAGATGCATCAATGAATAAAGTATCGTTTTTATGCTCATACCCATATCGATATATCTAAACATTGATCAACGCCTATTTTCATATGTATATCCCTCCATATAATTTTTCACCGTTCTTTTTTATTCGTGGCATTTTGCTTCCGCTATATTATGTATCCTTCTCCCGTGAGTTTCTGCTTACTTTTTTAGAGCGCATAGGCATTCCGTCCCGCGGTCAAGGTCTCATATGCACTGAAGCATCCCATCGGACAAAAGTCGCAAGAGGTTTGCGAAGCCCATCCCAATTGAATGCTGATTGCCACCTTCTTGATCTCCTGAGGAGCTGCGACGTGTGATTGCGTTGCCCCTGACACCCAACACAATGACAACTTTCAACGAGCAGTTTGCGGGCGCATTGTGCAGTTTTCTTGAGGTGTAGCCCACACCCGTATTTTGGGAGTGAATGCACGGTGTACCTGTAGGGGATGCTGAGGGCGGCGTCAGCGAGGCATGGGACAACATGTGCTCCGGAACAAGTGTGTGGCGTTGGCCCGAGGAGGTCCTGTGCCAACGGCATCACTGATTGATGGCCATTGATTTTGAGGCTGGGAGCTTCCTTGCTTTAAGGAATGGAATGGCGCTGGCTGACCAGGTGCCACATGCTATCTAATATGTCCTGGGTGTGGCTTAAGAGACGATGCGGACGCATGCAGAGGGGGGAAGGGAAGTAGGACTTTGTGTGGAAATGCACGTGGACGTGTCAGAGCGTCACGATATCCCTCAAGAAGTGTGGAGCCCCGAATTGATGATTCGACCGTCCTGATAAAACTGCCTGGGGTGGAGGTGAGTGCGCTGACTTCCGTTTCACCGAATTTTTCTTCATCTGACAGGCTGCGCGGCTGACGTGGAGGGACATCATGCGCACCTGTTTCCGGCGGGTGCGATGCCGTTTCCCACATTTGAGGGCGACTTCCCCGATGATGCACTCTGTCATCCTCACTTGTTTTATCTGACGACACGTCGCAACGCGGGGTTGGTGCTGAGCGACGAAAGCCTATCGTCTCGGTTGGAACCAAAACGGAGAGTCCATGAAGAGGCATGCTGCTCGCGGTTGGTTGATGCGTTGCCTGGGAGGAGTCTGAGTGCCACCGTGGAGCGTCTCTTATCCGCTTGATTGCATGACCCTCTACACATTGCAGAGGCCTCGTGCTCCTGAGTAATGCCGATAGGGCGGATTGCATGATGGTGTTTTATTGCTGGAAGGCACCGTGAGGAGGAAAAATATTATTTATTCTTTCTTCTTCCTGGACGAGACGAATCCTTTCTTTGATTGAAGTACTAATGCCTTGTCGCAGCTCTTTTTGGCCGCTGGTGGCTTTGGTGTTTGTTCCAATCAATGGCTCTCACTGGCGACTCCAAGACATAATATCGACTGGCGTTGTCGTTCATGGGCCCACGTTGCTTGGCCCATCAATTATTTTTGCAACTGGACAACAAATTTCTCTGTGGGTGTGAATCATGGTTTACAGAATATGACCACAACAGCTGCTGAGTGGGCTGGTGGCTGTTGCGTCCTGCATGAATCTGTTCTTGCGTATTTCACTCTGTTGCGTGTAAATGATGTTACATCTGTGCCTCGTTGTGTGGCAGATGCCTGAGCCAACGGAGGACGGAGTGTTGTGATGAGTCAGGGCACAGACAACCCTCGTGTTGCTCATCGTTATGCTCGTTTTCACTGCGGTCCTCGAAGTGGGATTATTTTATTTTGTGCGGTATGGAGAGTACTCCTCCGCTGGCATATCGCCGTGTGGTGGTCTCTGGCTCAAAGGACCCTGTGGAATACTTTGTGAGGGCGAAGGATGATGGCAGGACTGTTGTGCCCACACAGACGGAGACGAGAACAGGCTGGTTGGTGTGCCCTGTAAGATTGCGCGCTCGATTGCGTCATTGGATGCGTGCAGGGCAGGCGGCTCTCCGGTGTTTGTTGGCTTCACGGCCATCCCGCTGGCCCCTTCTGAAGGGCATTCAAGAGCATTCGTTCCCTGAGGGTGTTTCTGTTGTGTGGTCCGCACAATGTAGTGCCCGCTCCATTGGGCTTTTTCTTTGGTGAGAGGATGGTCTGTTGCACTTCTAGGGCTCCTGTGAAGGGGGAGGGTCATGGGGCAACATGCCCACCGCTTCGGTGTTGGTGCACCGCGTACTTGTGGCCGCGTTACGCAGGAGGCATAGTTCTCCGTTGCAGGATGAAGGTAACGTGTTCTTGTCCTTTCACAGCAATGAACGGCCTTCTTGTTATTTATTTTTAGGCGTTTCTGCAGGAGAACGAGTTTGCAAATGGTTACGAGGGATGCGTGGCTGCAGGGCTTGAGCGCCGTTGGTTTTTTTGACGGGCGGTGTTGAGGAATTACAGGCGCTTGCAGATGCCATCGCCGGTGTGAGGGCAGGTGTTTCAGCCACCCGAAGCGCGGCTGTTGGGAAGACGTGTTTCACTCTTGCAGTGGAAGCAGGCACCAAAGGGGCGAATGTGCGGGCTCACCACCCTACTTTCTGTACTGTTTTGCCGCGACGACTGGATCTGATCGCCAGCCACATTGAGCCGTCGCCATGTGGCCGCAACGTTGTCTCGAAGCGGTCGAGAGGCCGCAGGGCACGGCATTTGCATTCATTTATGGAAGTGTCATGGGGAAGAAGTGCGAGCCTCTTGGCATCTGACATCTCGCTGCCTTTTGATGCCATATTCGGTGAGTCTGTGGGTACTTTCTGGTGCTTCTGCCTTTTACTGGATGATTGGAACTGCTGAGATGTGGAGGGCATTTGCTGCGCCTTCTTTTTTTGGGTATATTTGTCGCACGCCGTGTTCGAGACGGTTTTCGATTGCCGCATTGCATGGGGTGCTGCAAGGCGATGCATTATGCCACGCGATTGTGTTGTGGGTGCCGTGCGGTGGAAATATTTGACGTCGTTGAGGTGCCCTTGGAGGGTGGGGTGGCGATCCTCCGGCGCGGGTGATCACTGACGGGTTCACACGCCCCTTTGAATTTTCTGTCCCTTCTTTGTACTTTCATGAACTGGCCGCGGATATTGCAGAATATATTCAGGTTGCTGCGGTGCTCCATACATTCAAGGTGTTGTCCTCCGCGCCGTCAACCTCGGCAGCTGAGCGACCGGTCCCTTTGAAGGATTCGGGAGGAGGATCCGTCCAATTTGTTCCGCGGCTGGAGTCAATTCCTTCATTTCTGTCGGCTAGACACGCCCACACCGTTACATTGCGTTCCCTTCCCTCAATGGGAGGAATGGGTGGGGAATAACCTCGAGAGATGGTGGCACTTTTTGTTGCATCGCCGGGGATCGTTCAGCGGCAGTTGATGCATCAGCCCTTCCTGAGGGTCGGCGACACAAACTCTGTGGCCGAGACGATTTGGATGGGAGTTCACAGGGGCAGAATGCGCGCTTTATTTCCGTGCTTTTGCCGATGGAATGCAATTATTTGCCCTTTCCTGTGATGCCTCGTGTGTGCCATGACACCACATTGAGGAGAGCACGAGGTGCTATTGACCATGCTATTTTGTCAGACGCCACGGCTCTTTTCGGGTGTGTGATTCGACTGTGTGGTGGGTCTGTTGAGGGGAGGACGTGGATGGGCCGCGCCTACCCGACTGCTGCGCCTCACTTTTCTGAGCGCCCTGACCAAATTGCTGTTCTCCTTTTGCTTGCCTTACCGGGCCTGGCGACCTCTTGAGGAGCGGTGCGGCGGCGTGGACTGTCGGGCTGCTGAGGAGGCCGTGGCTGCGCGGGATTTCCTGCGGATTTTTTTTGCGTTTCAGGACTACTGTAGAGAGGAGGACATTTCATGCCTCCTCCACGTCCAGGAGAGTAGATGGAGGGATCGCGGTTGCAGGATCGCACTTCACGAGTGTCTGCGCCCGTTGATCGCGTCGACGGCGCGCTCTGTGTGTCTTCGACCACTGCCGGAGCATCCCGCCGTTTTTCTTCCTGTGAACGGGAAAATCCACCGACACGTCGAGGGTGGTGGGGGATGTTGCAGCGAGGAACGCTTTAAAGGTTCTACAGTGAGGGAGCGCTGATTGCAAGGATCCCGCAGCACTTGGGATTCTGCTTGCCTTTAATTTCTCCTCTCTGTCTGTTGGTCGGTGCCGTTTGCCGGAGGACGTCTTGGCCCGTGCGCAACCGTCAACTTCTCTGCTTCTGTGTGTGGCCTCACATTTTTTGGTCCGTTGTGGACGGTGAGAGTAATTACTGTGGCGGTTACGACGAAGCGGATGTGTTACGCCGTGAATGGTGGCGCCACCCACTCCTCTGCCACGTTCTTTTTTGACGCTTTTTAGATTTTAATTTGATTTCTTGCACACAAACACACTCAGGCTAGGAAGGAAGCTACCACCAAGAGCGGATCGCCACTGTGAAATTCGAAGGCTTTGAAAGGAACAACAGCACACACACCGCCCACACACACATATTTATATGCTCTCACTTGTTGCTGCAGTGAAGGCACCCCGCACAGACAACCGTCGCCGCGTGACCGGATCCAGCGGAAGGAGGAGGGAAGGAAGAGAAAGTGAGCCGCAGAGGCCCAACATGTCCCGGCATCTCTTCTATTCTGCGGTGCTGCTCCCCCTCTTTTTGTGATGTTCTGCTGCGGCACTAGTGGAGCTGCGGCTGCTGGTGAGGCGTCATCCCCGGAATGTTCAAAGGGTAAACATTATGTTTGGAGAGGTAAGAAAGATGAAGAAACAGTGAGTTCTCTCCGTGTTCCCAGTCTTTTGAAAGTGGGGAGTGATGTGTTTGCCGCTGCCGAGGCGCATTGCAAGGACGGTACTAATAAAGATTTTACTGGGATTGCCTCGGAGCTTCTGAAGTGGACTGATGAAAAAGCAAGCAAGGAGTTGGACACAACTGAATTGAAGACACAAGTGCTGGAGGAATGTCCGTCCGAACAAGGCGAATGCTCCTGCCGTATAGCGGACCAGGCTGGCACCAAAAGCGGCACGAGAATACATGTGAGTAAGCCAACAACAGTTGTGCAGGGAAGTGATATTTACATGCTTGTTGGAAATTACAGTTTTGAAGGTGCCTCTGATGATCAGGCAGGTGGCTGGGGACTCATGCTGGTGAAAGGGAACGTCAGTAATAAGGAAGGAGAAAATAACGGAATTTACTGGAATGACACTTACGCTATCCCGTGGAGTTATAAAGTCAAACAACACGAATCTTTGATGCGGCTGATTGGCAGCGGTGGATCGGGTGTTAAGATGGAGGACGGTACGCTTGTGTTCCCGCTGGAAGGGACGAGAAAGAAGAGGAACCAGGGTGATGGCAACGAAAAGGATGGAAAGGCTGTCTCGCTGATCCTACACTCGAAGGATGCTAAGACTTGGAAGCTGCCGAAGGGGATGTCTGCCGATGGCTGCGGTGTTCCCTCCGTCGTGGAGTGGGAGAAGGACAAACTCATGATGATGACTGCGTGTGATGGTGGCCGCCGCAGGGTGTACGAGTCCGGTGACAAGGGGGAGTCGTGGACGGAGGCACTCGGGACACTCTCGCGCGTGTGGGGCAACACAAAGGGTGAAAAGGCTGAACTCGTTGGGAGCGGGTTCACCACAGCGACGATTGATAAGAAAAAAGTGATGCTCGTAACTCTGCCGGTGTATTCTAAAGAGAAAGAGAAAGAAGAAAAAGAAAAGGGCAGTCTCCATCTTTGGCTGACGGACAACACGCACATTGTCGATATTGGGCCGGTATCCGATGATGACGTTGCCGCCAGCTCCCTGCTGTACAAAAGTGGTGAAAGTGGAAATGATAATAATAATGGGGAGGAGTTGATTGCACTGTACGAGAAGAAGAAGAGCGGTGATGAGGACGCATCACTCGGTATGGCTTCTGTGCTTCTGACTGCGCAGCTGGAGAAGGTGAAGGAGGTGCTGAAAACGTGGAAGAATGTGGACGAACGTGTCTCCCAGCTGTGCACCTCTGAGAAGGTTACCTCAAGTGAAACTGCCTGCAGTGCTGATATTAAGATCACGGATGGGCTGGTTGGCTTTTTGTCCGGCAACTTCTCTGAGAACACATGGAAGGACGAGTACCTCGGGGTGAACGCCACAGTACATAAAGGAACGGAGGTAACAGAGGCAACCGGGGCAACAAAGACTTCCGATGGTGTGACATTCCAGGGAGCGTGGGCGGAGTGGCCTGTTGGCAGTCAAGGGCAGAATCAGCTGTACCACTTCGCGAACTACAACTTCACTCTTGTGGCGACGGTGTCCATCGACGGTGAGCCGAAGGGAAATACCCCCATTCCTTTGTTGGGTGTGCGTGCGGGCAGTAACGGGGGAAAAAAACTTTTTGGACTGTCGTACAACGGCGGAGATAAGTGGCAATTGCTGTGCGGTGACGAAACAAACAAGGAAATCAGCAGCACATGGAAGCGAGGGACAAAACACCAAGTGGCCATTGTGCTACGGAACGGCAGCGATGTCTCCGCGTACGTCGATGGTAAACGTCTGGGGAAGGATGCGCAATGTGAATTGAAAAATACAGATTCAGAAGGGATATCGCACTTCTACATTGGAGGGGATGGTGGCAGTGCAGACAACACAAGAAGCCGTGAAGTGGTGTCTGTGACGGTGACGAACGTCCTGCTGTACAACCGCCCGCTGACTTTTTCAGGTGGGAATGCCGAGGTGGAAGAAGTTACCGATTCACCATCAGCGGATCAGGAACCATCAGCGGAGCCTGCTTCTCCATTTGTGGCAAGGAATCAGAATGCGGCGCCTCCTGCAACGATACCTCCTGAAGCTCCGGTGGGGCAAACGACCTTGCAGCAGCCTCAACACGAAGGCAAAGGGCAAAATGCAACGGCGGAGGAATCTGCCACTACACAAGAAGTTCCGGCGAATACATCGCAGGGAAGTGTAGAGAAGGCGGCGGCTTCGAACTCTCATGCCGCTGGAGAAGCAAGATATGATGCCGGCATTATGCGTGGTAGCGTACTGCCGCCATCGCTGCTCCTTCTGTTGGGACTGTGGGGGTTTGCAGCTCTGTGAGGAGTGACTGGCTGCCGCGTGGGACACTTGCGACCCCCGCTGCACAGACACACACACCTGGCCATGAATTTCTTTTCCTAAATAACTTTTATTTACTTTTCTTGCTTTATTTGCGTTTTTAAATTGTTGTTTTCCTTTTTTTTATCTCACTCCCGCATCCCTTCTATTTTTGCTTTTGGGGGCAATCACTATGGATTTTTTTTTTCTACTCTTCCCTCTTTAATTGTTTCTTCTGCACTCTTCCTGTGAGGGGTGCCGTGTGTTTCCCGCCCAACTGCTCCGCTCGCACACCACCGACACGCTCACGACGACGGCCCTGTGCGCCTCGCCTGCTGCACGCATGAGGAGGGGCCGCGACGAACGGCGCGCTGAGGGAGCCGTGACGTGTGGGCGTGCGACGAGGGCCTGTGGGGCGGAGCACACATTTCTTCCCTCTTGTTTTGTTTTCTTGCGGCCAGGGCTGGCAGACACCCGCAGCGCCACACACACAGCCACACCCTGCCGCCGTGTTTTTTTTTTTTTTCTTTTCATTTCACGCGCTGGCAGTCCCGTCAGCATTTCTCTCCCTCCTGATGATTTTTTTCTTTTGCTGCGCTCACTCTCCCGATGGAGAGACGCGACCGCCGTCATGTCTGCGTGCTTCTCTCAGTCCCCACACACGAGTGACTGTGCTCTGCGGGCCGCACTCGCACGCCGATGAGAGGGCTGAGGGGAGCAGCAACACGCGGATGACCCCATGAAATGTAAACGATGTGCGGACACATGGAGGGTCGGACGGTTGAAGCACACGCAACCATCTTTTTAATTTTCTTTTCGGGCAAAATATATACGGACAGTTCGGTGTGGCCACACGGCAGCCAGGCGATTTTTAAATTTGTGTGGAACAGTAATGGACGATTTCTTTTTTATAATTATTTTGTGTGATGGGGTTTGTATAAGACGAAGGGGATGTTCTTTTTCTGTTTTAAATAAATCTTGTGTGGATTGCCGCTGCTTGGGCTGCAGTGCAGTCATGAGTTTGAGCGGTCCTCTTCTTGTTGTTTCCGCCATGCGTCTCTGCTGTACATTTTTGTGCGTCCCTCCACATACTCTGCTCCCTCTTTTCTGCTTCTTTGCTTTGTGTTTCTGCAGGCACACACACACACACACAAGATGCAAATTGCAGTGGATATGAATGCTCCTTTTGTGGTGCATGCTGGCAGTTGCGTGTGGCGGCTGTTGTCTTCTTCCGTGGCCATGAGGAGAAGGGCGGAGAGGGAGCGCGCACCCCGAGTCTCTTTTCCTGCGGGTGTGATGCACCGCGTGTGGCTGCGTTGAGTTGGGCTCCGTGTCCCATTGAGGGCGGGATGGCAGGAAATTTTGTTGCCGCGTCATGGACGGATGAGGGTTCGCTTGCGCGTGTGGCTGGTGTGGTGGCCGCGGTGTTTTTGCCGTTTCCCTGGGGCTGTGGCGATGAGCTGGGGGAGATGGTGGTGGATGTCTTCTCCTCCTGCATGGTGGATGGCTGCTGGCGTTGTGTGCCTTCGTTGCGTGGATGCCGTCTCGTGGTGTGTGAACTGTGCGGCTGGGCCTGCTGCCTCTCCTCATGTTGTCTGCTCTCACTCGCTGTATCCGCTGCACTCCGTCCCCCTCCCTCCTGTTCCATTCCTTTTCCTTCTGTCTCACGGATCGGCTCACTGACACCAGCGACTCCACTACGGGTGATGATGACTGCGATGATGACGATGGTGACGGTGCGGCGCCGTGTGGTGTGCGCCGTGTTGGTCCTTGCGCCCTTGTATTGCTGCTGCAATTCTGTGGATGTGACGGCTGCTGGGAGTCCTGGACATGTGTCTGGTGATGCGGATGCGGTGGTTGTGCCGGTGGATGTGTCGTGTGCACAGAGTGACGGCAGCCTGAGCTATCGCGTGCGTGCGTGTGTGTATGGGCGTGGAAGTGGTGTTCTGCTGCCAGTGCCGAGGCTCAGCGTGAGAATTACACTTTCAGTGGCTTTGATGTGCGCATGCATAGCAGGAATGGCGAGCTGGGTGCTGTGTGCCATGTGGCCCATGCGGTGCACACATGTAGCAACTGTGCTGCCAGCTGTGCAACGAAGGAGGAAGAGGCCACCGTTGCCTTCACGATGAATGTGACGACACATAAATACGCCGGCCCTTATGAATTGTGGTGGCGTCAATATTCTCCCGATGGAGCCATCCATTCGCCTACACGGAGCAGCGATGCTGACCGGACGGGCATCTGTCAGTTGCCGCCACCCCGTGAAGGGAAGGATGACACAAAATCTGGTGGGACAACTGCGCCGCAAGTAAATTCTGAGCCGTCACGTCAGAACGAGGATTGGCGGCAGCCTGTCGCGGCTGACGCACCCAATACCGTCGATCCGAGTCCCGCATCCAACACGGAGAGCAACACGTCCGAGACGAGGCCTGAGTTTGCCTTTGTTCGGAACACAAAAGTGGCTCCGACACCACCCGAAAAAAGGTCCTCGCCTGTCACCGAGCCGAAGGAGGATCCCATTGATGATGCGATGAGTGGTTCAATAAATGTTGAGTTACTGCAGGGAGTTGATCTATTTGTGCCGCAGACGACGCTGGTGCAGTCGGAGGATGGGACTGTTCCAGTTACGACGAGGGATTCGTTTGCCTCACCCTCTCTCGTCAGTGCTGGTGGAGTAATTGCTGCTTTCGTCGAGGGTCACACGGATGCCGAATATCAAGGTGGTCAATTAAGCGAGCCCTTTTCTTCTGATGTTGTTGCGGGGTGCATTGGCTCTGCGTGGGATTGGTCCGCTCTCGTTGGTGAGGTCAATGAAGGATGCATGGAGGGCACACACTGTGCTTGGTGCAGCGGAGGGAAAGGGGAGTTTGGGTGTTGTGCTCCGCCGCACAACAATCACGAAGGGCCACGGAGTGTTTCCTCTTGCGGGAGGCTCTGATGTGTCCTACGAAGGTGTGTGTTGGAGAGAGGGCGGCTTGGAGCTGAAACTGGTTGTGGGTGATGTCACGAATCCCACGGGTGGCAAGCAGAGTGGACGGATCGAATGGGGCGACCCCAAACCACTCTCGAAGCTGATCTCTTCTGCTTCTCACGAAGGTGACTGGACGGAGTTCATTGCTTCTGGTGGCTCAGGTGTTGTGATGGAGGATGACACGTTTGTGTTTCCTCTGATGGCGAAGAGTGAAGCAGAAGACGTTTGCTCCATGATCATTTACTCGACGGACAACGGCAGTATCTGGACGCTCTTTGGGGACATTTCCCTTGCGGAATGCGAAACCTCCCGCGTCACCGAATGGGAGGGATCACTTCTCATGATTGTTGACTGCGAGAGTGGCCAGAGGGTGCACGGGTCGCGTGACATGGGGACAGCGTGGACGGAGGCCATTGGGGCACTCTCAGCCGTGTGGGTCAACGCACGATCAGGAGTCTCGCAGAAGGAAAGCCTGCGTGTGGATGCCCTCATCACCGCGACCATTGAGGAAAGGAAGTTCATGCTGTGCACTCAGAGAGGGCACGCCTCGGGGAAGGAAAGGGCCACTGCGCTCTGCCTTTGGGTCACGGACAGCAACCGCACGTTTTCTGTTGGACCGGTTGCCGTGGACAATGCTGCGGGTTGGATGCTCGCCAACACCCTGCTGCACTCGGATGGCAGTTTGCATCTTTTACGACGGAGGGGCAACGGTGAATGCCGTGTCATCTCACTTTCCCGCCCGACGGAGGAACTGAGTGCAATCAATTCCGTCCTCAGCACTTTGACGCAAAAGGACATTTTCTTCTCCAGATTGTCTACACCCACGGCGTGTCTGGTGGCAGTTTTTTTCGATGCGGCCAGTGATGACACGTGGAACGACGAGTACCGTTGCCTGCATGCAACGGTGAAGGAATGCAGTGAAGGATAGCGATGGGTTACAATTGACGGGACTTGTGTCCAGGGCAATATGGCCTGTGAACACTCGGGGTGATGAAGTGCGTCATGTATTTTTGAGCCACGACTCCACACTTGTGGCGTCGGTGACCATCGAAGTGACTCCGAGTGGGAACACTCCTCGACTGACTGCGGTGCTGGCGCACACTGCGTCCAATCATACCATGGGACTGTCGTGCAGCCACAATAAGAAGTGGGAGACGGCGTTCGAAGGCAAGACAACAACACGGAGCAGCAATCGGGAGCCGAGGAAAGAATACCAAGTGGGACTCATGCTGCAATGCAACAAGACCTCTGTGCACATTGATGGTCGGTCGCTGGGAGAGGAAGAGGTGCTGTTGAAAGGCCAGAGGCCACCTGAGGTACTGAGGGTTCGCTTTGTTGCGTGCGGTGGGCACGAATCTCGTTTGACGGTGACGGACGTCTTTCTGTGCAGCCGCCCACTGAACTTCACTGCGATGCGTGCACTCAAGGACAGCGTCCCCGTTCCGACGAGAGAAGCGGCCCCGACACCGCCCGAGAGGATTCGAGTAGTTGACAGCGTCAGTGAGCACGTTGCTGGGGATATTACCGAAGAGAAATGAATGGACACAACGCAATGCCCCTGGACACGAATCCCCACTACAAACAGTCGCCTTTCAGGGTCTGGAGCGGCGTGAGTCCCGACGAACGCCTCGCCTCTCTCAACGAAGTGAAATTGACACTGCGTGATTTAGGCGGTAACAACACCGTGCGTGTGTGACTGTCTTGTGTGTTGCTGCTTCTAATGGGATTGTGTTTGGGTGGTGGCAGTCTTCTGAGCCACAGTGTGTGGATTTGCGACGCCTCACCTAAAATACATGCTGCATTGCCCTCTTTTTTTATGCCACCGTTATTTATTTACTTTTAAATGTCTTTTTAATGCAGTTCAGATGTAGTAATAAGTACTGTTGTTTTTCCTTTACGTAATGTCCGGCTGATGCACACTGTAATGAGCGAAGTGTTTCCCGCTCTTGTTTGCTTTTCTTTTCGCCCACACGTGGTGCCGGCCCCGCGGCTGTGTCTTCCACGGACTGCACGGAACGAGGATTGGAAGAACAGGCCGGATGCCGCGTGAAATGTGAGGGATGTTGTGTGGGCTGGTGAAATAATAATGCGATCTTTTTTTATTTATTTTAATTTCCCTTCTCCTTCTTGGTGCGGGCAATATGTATACACACAAACACACAGCCGTATTGTTGTGGTCGACACATGAAATAAAAGTCCTGCAAAATCAATTTTTCCATTAATTTGTTGCTTTTGGGAGTCATGCCGGACTCTCGTATTTTTTATTGTTTCTTTGATCCCTGCGGCTTGTTTCTGTAGTTACCGTATTTGCTGTCACTTTGCGTCTCTGCTTCCCGTTGAGTGTCCCTTTGCTGGCTGTGCTGTTGACATGCTTTTTTCTTTTTTCCTGCTAGTGGCACTGATAGTCCGCGACGACGATTGTTTGTGTTCCCCATTGCGATGGCACGAGGGTGACTGGGCGCCGGCCTGCTGAGTGCACTCGGAGGGTAGAAGATGGTGTGCGCCGTGCCTCACTGTGAGTGTGGGACGCCAATCCGTCGGGGAAGGGAGAAGTGAAGGACAGCGCCGTGGAGTTGGATGCGTCCCGTCCTTCTCGTTGCCGCCGTGTGTGTGCGCATGGCACTATCTTGCGGTGCGACGTGGATGGCGTTGCTATTGCGCGCGCCCTCGTGCATGCGCTGTGCGGCGGGCTTTTCTTCCCCATGACACCGCCCTTGTGCGTGTGCGGGACAGTGAAGGTTGTGGAGATGCATGAGGGAGTGAGGGTGGCCGTTGTTTCCGCACACTTGGGAATTCCACACACGTGGCACCACTCGGCAGCCTCTCGCAGCACCCAAGTCGTGGATTGAGAGGATGTGAGGGTTTGCTGAAGGACGACCACGAGACGCAGTACATGACGGCCAACCTGATTGGCATGTGTTTGCAGCGCATGGAGCACGTGCGCCAGCACGCGTTGGACGTAGCGCTCATGATTCTGGAGGAGAGGCGGCACGACGTTGTTGCGCTGTGTGTGTTGCGCGGCCGGGGCATGCCGGCGATTGTGAGGGACGTGGAGGACACGGAGCTGTTTGACTGAGGGAGGAGGTGGTGGCGGACGTTGCGGCGCAGCGGGAGCGCATGACGGCTGCGTGTGGTGGAGGGGCGCGTGTTGAAGTGAGCGTGGCGTGCCTGTGAGGGCCTGAGGAGAGGGAATAACGGCAACAGTGACTGTGGGGGTGTGAGGAACGGTGCACGTCGAGGAGCGCTCTTCTTTTTTTTTTAGATTGTTGTTGAACCGCGCCCACCCAATTGTTGCTGTTGTGGTGCGTGACTCTCATTGCTGGATGGGACGGTGCGTGGCTGTGTGACTTGTCTCTCTTTCCTTTGCTTTCACTCTGCGTTGACGTGTTGTTAGTTTGTAGTGAGGGCTACACGCAAGTGACAGGAGTGATGGCAATGATGACTGGCCGTGTGCTGCTGGTGTGTGCCCTCTGCGTGCTGTGGTGCGGTATTGATGGAGTTGCTGAGACCGAGGAACCTGGAATTGGAGTGGTGCCCGGTGTGGATGAGTATTTGTTTGTGGAGTGGCGCTCTCAGCTGCGGAGGGAATGCGCGGAGGAGGTCAGCAGGAGGACGGGAGGCAGGGCGAATGTGTCCACCGTCGTGGAATGCCTGCGTGAGGGAATGGAGGGTTTGCGTGCCGTTGTGGATGGCCATCGTCGTTGGAGGCGTCGGCGGTGTGCTCTGGTCGCTGGGAATCCTGAAGATGGCCTTCCCGAAGATATTTCCGTTGGAGCTCCTCCACCACTCCCGGCCCCGGAACCGCAAGACTCCTTACAGGAATTATCGTTGGGGGATCCAGAGAAATTGCCAGGAGGTGCAGGAAGAGGAACCGGATTGGGATTAGAACAACTGCAGCCTGAAGAACCGCCCGTCACGAAACAGAATGAGCCAGAGATTGAAGGCGAATTAATTCGCGATGAAAACAACAGTGAGCTCGAGAAAAAAGTATTGGTTGATTCAGATCTAAAGAACTCCCAGACGATGAATGTGCCGGAGATTCAGCCGGAAGCGGTTAGTTTATTGCCTCCTTCAGGTGATGGTCGTGCTGCTGGCATTCCGGGAGGAGATTCCTCCGAGTTGTCCTCTGAAGTTTCTCGATTGCCTGAAGCCAGCGGAACAGGAGGAGACGGCCAACAAAAAAATACACCTGGCAAAGAAAAACAAGCAGCAACACCACCACAACCAGTCCCAGTGCCACACCCTAAACCGTCAGGAAGTGCAGGAGAATTATTAGGAGGAGGAGGGCGATTAGAGGATGCACTGCCAGAAACACCAGTGAAAAAAAACGCTCCAGCAGCTCCATCACCGACGGCATCATCCCACACCGCATCGTTACCATCAAAGGAGGACACAGAAACCAGGAAGCCAGCCGACGATCCGCAGAAAAAAGACAAAAAACCAACAACAGATGCCATACAAAATGCGACAACTGAGGCTCAGGGGGAAACAACTTCATCATCTTCTGCGGCGGATGACAATAACGCTGTCACCAATTAAGCTGACGAGGGAAATGCGGAGAACGCCAACGATGGTTCCGCATCTCGTGCCGCAGTGCCAAACGAAAAACAACGACGTGAACGAGAGGATGGCAGCGAGAAGGAAACAGAACCAGCAGCAACGCCACAAGTAAAAAATGAAAACCCCGGCTCTGCAGACGCTGTTTCAGTACAACAGGTACAGAAAGCTCAAAGTGGCCGGGAGTCAGGGAGTGAGTCAAGAAAAGAAGACAGTGTTCTCACCACAAACAAACAACAGGATGGAACATCTGACAGCCATGCCGAATCAACTCCAACATCACGCTCATCAGCAAAAAGTGTTGCCGCCAGTAATGGCCCTGACGAGGCTACTGAGGAGGAGATTTCCAATAAAAATACGGCAGGTGTAGATGCAGTACCAGAAGCAGCACAAGCAGATGGAAATAAAGATGATAATAAGAAAGAAACACCAATAAAAACTACAGCTATTGCAAATGGTACGGCTCCAACAGGCGACAGTGACAGCAGCACCGCGGTCTCCCACACCACCTCCCCTCTTTTGCTTCTTCTTGTTGTTGCGTGTGCGGCTGCTGCTGCGGTGGTGGCCGCGTGAGAGTGAGGGAGAGAGAGCCGTGCACCGCCCGCACACACACTCGTCCTTCTCTGTGTGTGTGTGTCCCCTTGCATGGACTCTCGCCCTCACCTCACCCCACGAGGCACACGCAATAATGTGCCCATTGTATATATGCATGCACACCCATGCAGGCCCGTTGGTGCTCTCTTTTGCACGACACGCACCGCTGCCGTCCTGCCTGGCTGCATGGGCGGAGCACCGTAACTGTTCTGTTTTTGTTTTTATTGCATTGAGTGGGCGACCTCTCTCTCTCTCCCTCTGTGTGTGTGTTTTGCTTCACGGGAGTAATGAGAGTGTGTGTGCGCTGGTCGTCCCACGCTTCGGCTTTTTGTTTTACTGTTTTCCTTTTTGATTTTGTGGTTGAGTGCACCCATTCCGCGGCTGCGTGTGTGTGTGTGTGTGTGTGCGATGATATGAGTAATTTGCGTGTGTGCTATCTGCCTCTCTCTGCCGTTGCTTTCTTCAGACTCTCTCGTATCGCAAGGCAGCTCCGCAAGTTTAGGCTTTGAAAAACACACGGACAAATGCGCAGAATCTCTTTGTTTCACACGCTGTGGAGTGGCGTGGACGCTGAGAACGCACGCACCCAGAAGATTTTGTCTGCGGTTGTTCTTGCGAGGAGGGAGGTCGTGGGACCGCAATGCGTGCCGGCGACGTGATGCGGTTGTTATTTTGGCGGCGTGCAGCAATTGAATGGTGTGGCGTTGAGGATGTCTGGGACGAGTGCCTATCGACTTTCCCCCCACAGCTGTACCTAC